GTACTCAGCGTACTCGGCGTATGGCGCCGGGGTCCGTTCGTATGGAGCCCCTCCGGCGTACGGTCCTGACCGCAGCCTTGCCGTCCCGACCGAGGCTTGGGTGCCTGCTCCGACGCCCTCGTCGACAACTGTGACCGGCCCTCGCTTCGAGGAGCTGGGTCGGGGGGAACTGCGAGTCAGCAACCCCCTGCGGGTCAAAGTACTGCTTAAGACGTTCGACATAGATCGTCGGGTGCGTCGTCATTGACTTTGGAAGGTCGATGGTGTACGACGCACCATGTCTGGCCAGGACTGCAAAAGGTCCGATGAAGCGGTGCTTCAGTTTGTTGCTGCCGACAGAGCTAACAGTGTCTAGAGGTAGGCTCCTCGTGTCTAGCAACACTAAGTCACCAACCTCAAATATACTTAAGTTTCCTCTTCCTTGTTTGTCCGAGTACTCCTTTTGGTTTTATTGGGCCGCTGCCATGGCATCGCGGACCCTGCTGACAATGTTCAGCTTGGTATCCATAAAGGATTCCACCTGTTTCCGCAGCGAAACTGGCCTCACATCCGAGACCTGGGAGGAAAGGGCTTTCCGAGCCTCTCCCCCACTTAGAATAGAGGAGTCAGTGTCTCCTCGAAGAGTGAGAGGCACTCTGGGGTGGCGGAAGCCGTTCAAGTAGACCGGCGTGAACCCCGTGGACGCGTGCACCGCGTTGTTGAGCGCAAACTCAACAACTGGAAGCTGCGTCGACCACGTACGTGGATCTGCCGCGCACACACTGCGCAGAGTGTCTTCGAGCACTCGGTTGACGCGCTCTGTTTGGCCGTCGGTCTGCGGATGGTCCGCAGTGGACATCTGCAGACGAGTTCCCAGTAAAGGGAACATCGTTTTCTAAAACGCGGCAGTGAACCGCGGGTCTCGGTCCGAGACAATCGTCTCCGGGAGACCGTGATAGTGGAGCACGCCATCGACAAACAACCGTGCGGTTTGTTCGCCCGTAACAGTGACGGGAACTGGAGCAATGTACCATCTTGCTTAGCCGACACACGAACACCAAAATTCCGGTGTTGCCGTGTCCGTTGGCGGGAAGCCCAAAGATGAAGTCAAGACTCATCTACTTCCAACAATCAGCCGGTACGGGCAGGCTCTGTAGTGGAGCCGAAGAGTGCCCTGCGGGTTTGACCCGCTGACATGTTTCACATGTCTTGACGTACCGGGCGACCCACTTGTACATGTGGGTCCACCAGAAGGACTGAGAGACCGACAGAAAGGTCTTCTCGCGGCCCAAGTGGCCGCTGGAGGGCGCGTCATGCGCCTCCGCGAGGATGTCATGCTTCAGATCCTCGTCGTTGGGTACGACCACCCGTGGAGGATCCGTGGGCTCCACCCGATAATAGAGGAGGCCCTCCTTCAACTCATATCGGTGGAGCCGTGAGCGCTGTCGCGACGAGATCCAGCCGGACTTCGCGCTCGTTGTACGCAAAGGGCGGAACAATTGCGTCACCAGGCGATTGAACGTCGCCGGGGCATTAGACAAGCCCTGCGGCATGACGAGCCACTCCCAAAGCATGCCGCTTGGAGTGCTTACCGCGGTGAGCGGGATGTCACTCTCGCGCATCAGGATTTGGTAGTATCCGTCTACCAAATCCAGCGCACTGTACAGGACGCTCCCGGCCATGTTGTTCAACAACACATCCGTTCGTGGGATCGGTGTTTGGGCCGGCACCGTTGCGTTGTTCAGCTTGTTATAAGCGTGAACCAGACGCCACTTTCCGTTCGGCTTACGAACGCAGAAAGTCGGCGTCGAGTGCGGGGATTTCGACTCCCGCACCATGCCTGCCTTCGCTTTCGCGGCGAAGAAGGCATCAATGACCTCGCACTGTTCGCGCGGGAGAGGCCATTGCCTCGTGACACAATACTTTGTGCCGGGCACGAGATCAATCTCGTGCCGTACGCCTCGATCCGGTGGGAGTTGGGTCGGTGGGTGTTTGCTCACCACGTCCGCGTACTCCGTCACCAAAGGATAAACCGGATCCTTGGGGTTCTTGAGAATCTCAGAACCCAAGCGCGCCTGACGCTGCTTGTTCATGTCTTCCAGGACGTTCTCGTCCAAGACAGAGGAGGAGTTCAGCTCCTCCTGAGTGGTCTCAGGTCTCATGAGTACCATCTCAGCAATCTCTCCAGCCTTGAGGTTGGTCAGGAAAGCCTCAGCCGTCATTTCTTCGAGGTGCAGTATCTCTGCAACCTCTGGCAACGGTTCCAAGTGGACACCAGATGCCTTAACAGGTAAACCTGTCTCGCCATCGAAGATGTGATAACACTCTTCCACCGGCCTTGTCGGAGGAGCCCGGGCCCTGGACTCCGAGTCGCTTGAAGCGACGTCGATCGAAACGAAGTTCGGATCCGACTTGAGGCGGCGGCGGCGTCTTTGTCGACGGCGTCTGTGACGGGGAGCTCTGCTGCCCACGTCCAGGGATGTCGTCGCTACGACATCCGAGGCACTCGTGGCCTCGTGTGGTACTGTTGTACCCACACAGGAAGCGTGTTCAACGCCTTCCTCTTCAGTTAAGGTCTGGGCGACCGCGTGTGGCACTGTGTTACCCACACAGGAAGCGTGTTCAACGCCTTCCTCTTCAGTTAAGGTCTGGGCGACCGCGTGTGGCACTGTGTTACCCACACAGGAAGCGTATCCGACGTCTTCCTCTTCAGTTATGGTCTGGGCGACCGTGAGTGGAACTCTGTTACTCACTCTGAACACGCTGTTATCAGTGTTCATGACAGCTGCAGCTGTCTGCGGAACTAAGTTACCCGCTTGTGGACCTAAGTTACCCACTTGGCCAGCGCCTCCTCTGGGCGCTGCCACTATCAAAATATCCTCGAAGTCGTCATATACGTCGACGACTCCCAAGCATCTGCCGGACGCTTTGGTACCCTGGCAGCCCTCGCGGGCGCCCCGGGTCCTGACAGAGGTGGGAACATGACTCACCAATGCTCTGTCGGACTGCGCAGGGCGGCTGGCACCGATTGCCTTGCCTCGCCAGTCGATCCAGGGCTCGTGCTTCTCAAGCCAGGGCATGCCCAGGATCATACCATATGGATCCATATCGAGAACAGTGAACTGTTCGAGGCTGTCAAAGTCTTCAAACTTGACAGCCAGATCCACTTGGACGTTGGGGACAGTGACGACCTTCCCGTCGGCCAGTCGCACTGACACCGTCCCGTTGCCCTTGCTTTCTCTCAAAGCATCGGACAACTTGTTGCTGTTACGAGCAACCGTCTGGCGGCGTGCGAAATTCTTCGACGCCCCAGAGTCAATCAAGATTCTGAAGGGATGATCGTATCCCCGTACACATCCGTGTACTACGAGCAACCCGCCGCTGCTCTTCGCCGATTCGAGAGTGCGAAGACTCTCAGGGGCTAAGTCCCCGTGGTACGCGCCACCCGCGCACCCATCACGAAGACTTAGTTCTTCCCCAGTAGGGCGCCCCGCCCCTACTGGTTCCCTTCGTTCCCCTGTCCCCGGGATCCTGGCTTTTGCCAGCGACCCTTGAGGACGGGCTTGGGGAAGGACCGTCTGCGGAGTCTTTCCGCGGGGCAGTCACGCTTGAAGTGGCCCATCTTCCCACAGCCGAAGCAGCGGATGTCACGCTGTTCGGCGGACCCGAGCTCCATGGGAACTGGTCCGTTGGGGCTTGTTCGACCGGGAGCCGACAAGGAACTTCCAGGCCACGCTGAGGCCGGCGTACGCGCCTGGCGATGGCTGTACTCTTCTTGAAGAGCCACTTGAATCGCCTCTTCAAGGGTGCTTGACTGCACCCGGAACAGCTGAGTGCGTGCGGGGCCCACTCGAAGGCCGTCCATGAACACAGTCATCTTGATGTGTTCGTTGAGTGGGTTTCCCACTAGGGACGCCGTGAGCTCCCGTATCTCTTGCACATACTCGTGCAGTTCGCGCCTTCCTTGCTTACACGCGAGGAAGCGCGAACGCTGGCGGTACTCGTAGTTCGCCGGGAGGAACGCGGCTCGGAGCTGTTCGCACAGCTGAGCCCAGGATGTGAAACATCAAGGGGATGTTGCTTCCCGAGTGTACACCCAACTCTTAGCACGACCGCTAAGGTTGGAGAGTGCAAAAGCAACACGCAGTTGCTCGGTCGAGATCAGAGCCGCGTCCATCGCGAGCTCTACTTCTCGGACCCAGAAGTGAAGGTTCTCGCCTTCCTTCCCTTCATACAGCTTAACCTTCAGCCGTATTGGCTTCGGGTGAGGCGGATTTGCTTCCGCCGCCGGAGCCTGCAGGTTCTCCCGCACATGCGCGATGAGGCCCTGCTCGTACGCGTCGAATGCATTGACGCGCTCGAGCTGCTCAGCCGGTGTTGATACCACCAGGCTCTGCAGGGCCTCTATCCCGAAGATGCCTGCCATCTTCCGAACCGACTCGAACTGAGAGTCGTTCATATGGGAGAAGTCGTTCCTATCCATGGCAACGAGCTTCGGAGAGGTTCAGGTAGTCTACCCGCGGTGGCGTGGATTGACTACTAGTGCTACCAAGTGTGACGGGGTCACACAGCACCTTGCGCTAGAGGAAGTTATCTTCCGAGAGTATACAAACTCTCAGTGAACGGCAGCTCACAGGTCCCCCCTTTAATTAAAGAGAGCGAAGTGACCTAACTAAGGTAGATTGTAAACTGAGTATATTTATAGGTAGGTTAAGTTTGGGTTTAATACAAACTATTAGTTACCCATAGAAATGCAATGTCATTTAGCCAATGGTTGGCTTTGAACGATCTTGGTACCTTGTACCAAATATCCCGAAGTATGACGTGTCATACTCCTGAAGTGTGAAGTGTCACACTTCATGTAACCAGGGTACACTTAGGGCTACGTACCCCGTTACAGTTTGCTACTAAGTGGCTTCATTGTCCGACAAATTTTGAGGAATGGACAGCTTTTTAAGTGCTGTAAATTACAGTGTACAGTAATGAGAGCAAAAAAACTGCAACTTGTTGCAAGTACTTGCTCACTCGTAGGTGTCGGGATACTTGACAGGCACCTCGCGCACCTCGTCAGGCGACCAAAGCTTTCCTCCGGCCAATAGCTCAGTGACTTCCTCACAGGAGAGACTAACGGACGAGATGGCTTTAAAGAGCTGCCGTGACGATGTGTTCTTCGGGAAGTTGTGCAACAATCGCATGATATTTTCCGCTTCCATTGCCAGTAGTGAGTCCTGGAAAAGAGACAAAAGACCTACACAAAACATAAGCGAAGTGCTCAGGGTTGTAAGATCCTTTTCGCGCCAACGTAGAAAGGCTTACCCATGCTGGCCTGGAAGAAGAAGGGCGTGCCCAGTAGAACGTAGACATCCCAGATGCGCAACGCGAGATCCAGTGGCAAGCTCCGAGTAAATAGAGTTAGAGCCCTACACAAGCACACCTTCGTCAATTGGCAGTCCGAACAGAAATATACGCACACCAACAGCGTACCAGTCTACGGCATACATCTGTGCGTCAATACCAATCTCATGAAAGTGGGCCGCCAGGGCCGGTAATTCATACTCCAAAATCTGGTTGTACACGTCGATGTAGTGGAACGTCTGTGCCATAAGACCAGAATTCAACAGAGCTCGAAAGTTTGAAAAATAACAAAACCTCAGACCAACACGGATCGTCACGTACTCGCGTTGCCTCCAGACGGAACATGTCAAAAAGCAGGCTTGAGCTCATCAAGGCGGCCAAAGCCTTAAAAGCTGTGAAGCTGTCCATGTGAAAGCACAGCGTGGCTGCTAAGTAGCTCATTCCTTGCACATACCCCAGGTCCGGTCGGTAGCAAATGTACGCTTCTAACACCTTCGTCGTGCGCTCAGTACCCTCACCACCAGGTTGAAACAGTGGGTGGTGACCAAAAGTTCGTGGCATGTCGACATTGACGAGCTTTATGCTACGCTCTCCGTGGGCGACAAGCATCTCCGCGATGCCAACGGCATCCTGTAACATGTTTTGCGATGGCAGAACTGCGGACGACTGACTTGCTCTTTTACGATCGCTGATCTCTGGTATCAACATTGTTGTCGATGAATCCCCCGATGTATTCTCCTGACTCTGGAAGCGCTTCCCGTATTCCGTCAGTAGTGGTGCTTCACAATCTTCCATATAGGATTCCGAAGCAGATGATGCACTGCTTACATTCGAAACACTTCTTGATGGTGACTCAAGCATGACACTTGCGCTGTCGGAGCTGACTGTTGGCGTCTCGACCGCTGAGTGATCTACATCCCGCTTCAACGACATCTCCATCAGTACAGCCTGGGCTCGAGCTTTGCAGATTTGAAACAAATCTTCGTTTACTTGAAGCGTATTTCCAAGTATCCATGCCCATGCCCGGCCACGTAGCTCCTTTGGGATACCCGCAAAGCACAGTGCATCCAATAGAGGTACATCACCACGCGTGCTTCCACTCGGATGAGAAAATACTTCATCCAGCCACACCTCAGTGTACGTCCGTTTCAGCTTTGGAAGCTGCTGTCGTTTTCGCTCCATACGTCGCTCCTTAGACGCGCGTTTTTGAAGCTTCTTGAGGCTATGATGTGTGGTAGAAGTTGCATTCGAGGTCTTCGCTGCGCTGGATGGATTTCGTCCAATTAAGGTTGACTCCAATATTGACTGATGCAGATCATCGTAGCTTCCAGGAAGCAATACACGGAGTTCACCCACCCATCTGCGCCGCTCCTGCTCCGTCGTCGCACTCAAGAAGAGCTTCCTGGTCGGGGTCTGTAGCACGAACACAAAGTTGCCCGGATGTCGCACTTGGTTTTGGTCGTCAATCTATCATCAGTTGTATCACACGTGTGAGATCTTGGGGGGGGGTTAGTGCCAACGTATCGCCGATGCTACTGCCAACGCACCACTTGAACGTCTCCTAGTGTTAGCAGCAGCCGTGGCTTTCGGCCGGACTTGGTTGAGTATGTAATATCAGACTACAGGCAAAATTAATCAAAATACCAGCATTAGCCTCTAGTCTGGAGGTAGCTACAGCAGCAGCGTCTTCATCTTCAAAACACTTGCCTTTGTGAGCATAAAGTAGCGGATGCGCCAGATTTTCAAGTGCTTGCTCTGTTCGCAACGACAGCAATCCACAGAGCATAAGTCGCATCTCCAGCGTCAGCGAGTCAAAACGCACGCACTTGTTTGTGCAGATAGCCCTGTAGCACCAGCTCATGTGGAGCCGCCATGGTCAGGTTATAATACCGACGTCAAGTTGAAACAAACTTTATTAATATTATTAAATTTAAAAACCACTGACTATAACCTCATTTATGTGTAAAACACCACACTGGGAGTTTTCTTATTATTACGTTCCCAGTCCAGCACACTCAACATGCGACTTCCCGAGGTGGCGGTGGCTTCTGTATCTCATTCGTCGTCCTCTCCCTCGCCAGCGCGTGCTACCGACAGTATCCGACTTGTGCGTCCGTCCACCAGTGTACTCGCTCCCCCTTCCGCTACCGACACAAGCTCGGGCGGATGGACGCTGCCACCTTTGAACCAGTTCATGACACTTCCTAGGCGCTTTATGCCCTCGAGCTTCGGCACCTCTGGGGACAACAGCATAGCCAGCAATCCCAGTAGTAGTGGAGCAGATACAGAGAACCGAAACAGGAACGCCACGGCCAATCGAGCCGCAATGGAAAGTCTGCTTAATGACGAGGACGAGGACTGGGGAACTCAGAACCACTTCGTTCTGCCCCGCAGGGTGTATTTCCAAGACGTTCACGACCCTAACGATACAGGCACAGGCCCAGTAAATCAGCCCGAGGAGATTGATCTCACTGTCTCGTCGGATGAGGACGAAGGCAGCGGGCAGAACGCAGCAGATAGCGGCGAAATCATCGAGATTCTGGATTCTTCGGGCGTTTCGCAGCCGGCGCCTTTACCTCGAAAGCGACGACGACCAGGAGCCAACACAATGCTAGAGCCTAAACGCCAGCGCATGACAGACATGATGAGAAGCGCAGAGTCCACCAATATCAGCATACAGAACAGTGAGACGGTGGAGGAATTTAAGCGACGACTCAAGTGCAGCATCTGTCTAGACGTACTGGAAGACATGACCTCCACTTTATGTGGCCACATCTTCTGTGCTTGCTGCATCCACCAAGCGATTCGAGCCAGTGGAAAGTGTCCTCTGTGCCAGCGTCGTCTACATTTCAAGGACACACATCGCCTATTCTTTTGAAAATTTGGCTAAAGAGGAACCACTCTGAGGTCAGTATTTTTTTTTTTTGGCGTCAACGGTACTACAGAGCCAGACCTGCTTCAGGGTAGAATCGATTGAAGTTTAGCCGGAGTAAGATACACTACGCAGCAAGTGGCACCACACATTTTTTTCTATCAAAATCTCTAAAGCCATCGCAAAAACCAAGGGCAAAAGGAGACGGTTCACGTACCTCCGACAACTCGCGTGTGTTTCGCTCTGCATCACGAGTGACGCTGTGCAGACTGCCAACCAAAACTCGGAGCGCAACGTCGAACTCGTAGCACAACGATCGAATGCGAGTCTCTTCGGAAACTCTCCCGGTCACTTGTCTTTCTAATGCCCGCACGAATCCGGTCAAGCTCCAGGCTGCTGCTAGCGTGTCCAAAAAAGCTGAGCGGATCTGCGAATTACGAGCCATCCTCGTCAACAACAATGAAGACCCAGGGAGGAGGAAAGGCTTACCGCAAGTGTGGATCTGTCCAGGAAGCAGCAGCGAGTTGCAACAGATACATAATCCTCATGGCAGCGACGCAGCTCTACCAATTGTGTTGCCTTGTGTACTGCATGCTCAAGTTCTGACCACGCCATCATTAACACCTATGACGACACAAATGTTAGCACGAAAACCATACGCTGCTAATATCTCGGTTTGCACAAACCTTTGTTGCAAAAGTTTCGTTGAATGCCCGAAGGAACGATTGCATCTTGTATACTACGCCTCCGCACAACCGCTCAAGTAAAGGAGAAAGCTGTCCTTGTGCACGGATGGAGCGCAGTAGATCCCAAGTCTCTCGCATTTCGACTGATGTCAGTCTCACGTGAAGTAGGAATCGGTGCATTTTCTTGTAATATTCCAGCGACTGCGTGGTGATCACGAAACCCATCGGCCACTTTAAGTCGTACACCAACTCAATTTCATGGAGTAGGCTTGGAACGGCTGGCCTCATCGTCAGACTATCTAGCACTGGAGGAAGAAAACTGGTGTGAGGATTGTGGTGATGTGAGCTTTGTGCGAGAAACCCACTCTGTGACAGTGTTGCGGTCGTGTTGTACTGAAAAGCTTGCGAAATTGGATCTAGCGTCACGGATCCCTCGATCATGGCCAAAGTGAAAGCGGACGAAAGGCGGCCTTCAAGTCCCCAGTTTACACGAGTAGTTGAGTCCAATCCCTGGAGAAAATCACGCGCAAAGATGTCCATCGAGAGCCCTTCTGACATAAGCATCAACCTCCGCAGCCAACATAGATGATCAAGCAACTGCAGTGAGTTACGAAACCACTCCACCGCCACCTGCTCCAGCTTCACGGCAACGAGACGGACGGGGATTTTCACACAGCAGTCGACGAGCGACTTAAAGGAAGTAAATTCCGCCTCAGAAGCAGTCTGCAATATTCGGCGACGGAAGAGATTAGTCATGTTAGAGAACATACAGCAGGTATGTATGGGCGAGAGTAGATTACCTCTGTCAATACCTGCGTCAGCAGCTCGGAATCTTGTTGCGGGATAGTCACCGAAAAGAAAGGATGCACGGGAGGAAGAGACAATCGAACACAGTTTGGTGATTCAGCAATACCAGCCATTCGACTTTCTACAGAACAAAAGTCGTCATCTCGACCGCTTTTTCGATCTGTAGATTCCACCTCATCACGAGTTGGATCCTGCATTTCAATGTCTCGCTCTTCCAGTAGGGGGGTCTCGATCAATATGGTATCACCCATTGGTTCGGTTTGAGCACTGTTGTTGCCTTCCATATCGACGTCAACAATTGCATATGCTGCTCCAGAATCAACATCAGGCTCCGCTTGAGCCTTTTCGCCGAACTGCTCATCAAGTCGCCCATATAATGTCCCATACATTTCAGCTCCGCTTCCTCCAGGTTCGTTTAAAATACGGATACTCGTTTTTCCGAAATCAATTTCACTAGATACAGGGTCGTTGAGAATGCCGGAGCTGCGACTGCCAGCTTCTTTATTCACTTTCACCGAAGCTCTCCAAATACCGTCATTATCGGATGCCGATCTTCGGGACCCCGCTTCCTTATCCACTCTTACTGATGTTTTCCGGACCCCATCGTCAGTTGTAGCTGCGGTCCGACTTCCCGCTTCCGCGTTCACCTTCACCGATCCTCTCCACTCGGAAGTTGAGGCTACCATCGACGGCATCTCAGAAGTAATTATTTCCTCAGACACTTGCTTGTTGTTGTCGACTATAGAATTCACCTCTTTTACGTCATCAGCACGAGTTATTGACTCGTAACTCTGTTTTGCTTTCTCTATAGCACGTGAACGTTGGTTAGAGCAGTTAAACAAAATGGCTACAGCAAATTCACAAGCGCAGTCGTACCTGCTGCCCACAACTCCATTTCATCTACCCTGACACGTTGAAGCTGTTCCTTTGCGGTCGACAAGCGCACGACACGATCTCGTCGCCATTTCATGTAATCATGCCGCTCTTCAGCACCTTTCATCAATTCTGAGTGTCTACATTACACATCAAAGTACAAACTATGTAAGCCCATGCTACTCAAGACGCAAAGACATAGCGATGACGTACTTGTTCAAAAGAGCCTCGCGTCCATAAGCCTCCTGGTCTGCTAGAGCCGTCGCTTCATCGGAGAGTCGTTTTGCTTCATCAGCTTGTTCCTGCTGCTTCAGTTGAAGCCTTTGTCGCTTCTGTTCCAGCACTTGTTGGTCTAACATGTTTTGTTGCTGCAGCTGAGATCTTCGTATTGTTTCAGCCTATTCAAGCACAATAGGACAGGATTGAGTACTACCGTTGTACTAAGCAATCTTCAAGTAATGGAGGCCCTTACAATTGACACACTTGCGTCCTCGCGCATATAATATCGTATTGGCCCCTCTTCAGGTGCTGCTGCACCAGACATTTCGGTCTCAGATGCCTCTGAGCTCTTTGAATGGTGGGCATCTCCACTATTTGCCATGGCTTCAACTGTTGCTGTCCACTTGTCCGCGTGTTCGTCACCCCCACCAGTAAGCATACTCAAAGGTTGCATGTTTACCTAAAGTTTTCAACGACATTGCCAGAATAATCACAACGAGAAAAGTAACCATTTTTTCACCACCTACCAGCGGATGCGTATAGGCAATTGCGTTAACACTTCGTAGAAGCACTTGGACTTGACTGACGTGAAAAACCATAGAAGCGATATCAGCCATAAACTTAGGAAACATCCTGATGGCTTCAGTCGGTAGGTCCTCGTTGAATAGCCCATCACCGCCTCCCGCAGAGGCTTTCTCTAGCAGGTTTCTGCTCCACATTGTAACTTCAAACTCGTTCTAAATAAGTAAGTTAAGTAAGTTTACCAACAAGAGAACACGTCAAAGTAAACTTCAGCTACGCCACAAAATTCAATTTAGGACGTACAAAAGGATCTGTTGATTCATCCACCCTCCCCGATGAAACAAGATCGGTAAGAACGACCAAGAACGGCGAGCACGACTTTACAAGAAACCAGACCACCAACTCCTCCATCCGTCCCGAGGAATCGCCCACGTGTAGGGAGGACGCATAGTGGTGCAAACGGTTAATCAACGCAATTCCACGAGGGAATTCACCTATTCAATCCAATGAAGAACAATCATGAATAAAAACGATCTCATCTCGGGAGAATTGAAACACCTACCATGTTGCAACAGCGGCCAGAAGAGGTCGGCATCGCAGCCAAAGATGACGCCGATGGTTTCAAGAGCACAACAGATTTTGCGCGTCTTGCACAATAGTTTTGCGATAGAAATAGGTTCATCATCTTGATCTACCTCGCTTAAAGAAGATTCCACGCATTGCTGCGTGATCGTCTCTACAAGCGTCTAATACAAACAACGGATTAGAGTGTGCACTGGAGCATTACCGCATACACGAGATTACTCGATGTGTAGACAGGTACAGCAGAAGTGCATCTCCCATGGCTTGGAGCGTCTTCCCTCCTCGTGCAGGATCTTGGGCATAATAGATTCCTAGTAGCTCTAATCGCATAACCATGGTGCCAGCTTTCCGGAATACCTAACCAAACAGCATGCACGAGTCAACGTACACAGAGGGAATCCTAACGTGAAGCAATGACAAACACCGAAGCCAAACTCACCTGCAAAACGGACATTGTAGCCGAGACAGTTGTGTTAGGGAGCTGGATCCCACGCATTCCAGGCAATTGGAATGTTGCCGACTGGAAATCTCTTCGGAATAGTGTCGAGTCGACTCCACTCAATGCTCTCAGCGAATCCTTTGCAATTACGGTCAATGTAAGCGACGATTGTCTAAATAGCCCCACCATATCTTAGCTCCACTGACCTCAATCAGATCTTGCTCGTGTATCTCTAATGGGATGTGCCCGTTGCATGCGAAATTATTAGGAATCGCTAGGTCACGAATTGATCGTTGTCTTTCCAAAACGGACGGCTTGGCGTAATTCTCACGCAGGCCCACCCGCTCTCCCAGGTCTTCCCATGCGTAAGTTCGAGCTACCCAAGGTTCGATACTATCAAGCGAGCACATTTCCGATCCCCACGACGAGTTTTCTGTGATGCTGCTCGCATCTCCCCAGTCTGCGTATCTGCTACACTGCACTTCGTGGGTGCCGTCATAGAAGAAAACTTCTTTCCTTGGTCTCAAAATTGTTAGTTGTTTCCCAGGCTTCACTGACATGAGTGTCTTGATCGGATCGCTCGAAGCTTGTCCATGACGCTGACACTTTGGCGTATCTCTACTACATAACAGTGCATTAGCAAGACTTGACAGTGCTTGGTTCGTGCAAACTGACATGTGTGCCAAAATGAGACCAGGATCATCTTGGCTGCCAGGGAGACCAAAAAATCGATTAGGCTACTCGCGCACGTGCATCAACGTGACATTAGTATAGCCTGGATCGTCCTTTTGAGCTTTCTCATCACCCACCTGCTTGAATCGTGTCATACATGTTGCAAGGAGCCCTTTGCCCTCGGATTTAGTCACGTCGTTATCAGGACACCATAAACTGGCGCGTTGGCTTAACATCCCATTCCCAAAACTGCCAAACAAGTCCTGCGAGAAGAGTCTGAGCACAGTCGTCAGTGAGCCAGCCAAAAGTGCGCCTTCCAGATGCAATGCTTACGCTTTCTCTTGCAGCGGCACCGATGCCTTATGAAAGAGCGCTCTTGAGCGCTGCACCATATCAATGTTGTTCATTCGAATACGATCGCCGATGCGTTTTTTCTCGGTGGTGAAAACCTGTCAACAGGCGAACGTGACGATGAGGAAATCAAAACTGAAGCACATCAGCCACACTAACACGGCAAAGCACTGTCATACCATACTAGACTGGTCGTTCGTTGACTGCATAACGTCTTCGAGCACAAATGTGTTACCGTCTTCTCCGCCAGCAAGCGCAACAAGCAGCCGCATAATGTCGTCCATTGGAACTGTCACACATACACACACGCACAAGCTTTGGTCATCGGCTGAGTCGTTTTCTCTATTCAATTGTCCGACAGACCTGTCGCCTCTGCACTCTGCTCAATGCTCATGCAGCGCTCCACCACGCGATCCATGCGGTTCACGACGTTGGTTCTGCTCAAAATAAAAACGCTGAGACTCTGTCCACAAAATCGCCATAGGATATGCCACGTACATATCTGCGTCTTCTCCGCGCATTAGTAGTTTCTCTCGTATCTCCAGAAGCTCGGTCTGCACCGACACGCCACCATCCTCGCGCTTCATTTAAATAATTGTCAGTTAGGAATAAGGAGGAAGAGCACTTGGCTGGCAATCAGCGACACATACAGAGCTCAGAAGACGCCGGAATACTGGCAGCATACGACGAAACTCACTCCTAGACTCGCTGCAGATGTGAGATCGTAAATGCAGCAGTAGATCCACCACGCCGGCCTCGTCAGCCATCGCCATCAAAGCTAGTAGCGAGGCCTCGCGTACCAAAAACAGTACATTCCTGTCTAAAGCGATGAACTAACAGCTACCGGTACATTATCCAAACCCTACCAAGACTCCAAGTATATGTGTGATAAACGATACATGTAGGCCCTAGAGAACTGTGTTCTGTGCTTCAAAATGGGTTAGGGCTTTCTGCTTGCCTTATTTTGTGCTTGCAGTTTTGATAATCTGTGCTGTGGTTGTCCAAGTAAATTGTGACGGGGTCACACAGTAGAGGAAGTTATCCTCCGTGAGTATACAAACTCTCAGTGAACGGCAGTTCACAAGTCCCCTCTTTAGTTAAAAGAGAGCGAAGTGACCTAATTAAGGTAGAATGTAAACTGAGTATATATATAGGTAGATAAAGCTTGGGTTTAATACAAACTATAAGTCACCTATAGAAATGCAATGTCGTTAACCAATGGTTGGCTTTGAACGACCTTGGTACTTTGTACCAGTGTCACAGGTTTTCACGCTCTGAGAGCGCGTCGGAAGTCTGGTGTAGTGTGCATGGCTGGTCTGGTTAAGCACGACAGACGCTGAGCTTGGGCTGGGGAGGCTTGAGGCTTGAAGCTCAAATAGAAGAATGAACGTGTGAGAGGGGAGGGGGGGGGCGAAACGGGTGCAGCCGCGAATCACACAAAGTAGTGGATGCAGCCACACACACAGTGGTCACACGCCTCCGAGACCATCTGAAGCCTATCCGAGTCTGCATCGCGGCTGCGGTGATAGCGAGCAGCACGTGCGAACTGCAGTTCTGTGACTTACAGCACTCTAAAATCTACTTGAAGTAAAATACAATGTACATAAGAGGGTTAACCATGTTAGCAACTATTCGAATGCAAGCCTTGTCTTGGTGTTACTGTGCACCCGACGTCTACGTGCCAGAGCTGCAGGAATCTTAGCGTCATAGGATGGCAGCCAGCTATACACCGTAGTTTCATGATATTCTTTGCTTGGATTGGATTGAGGAAGTAAAATTTGTGGGTCGTTTCCTTTGATGCGCAAAGCTGTAGGGTAGTAAAAAAGAATTGGTTATTACAGTTGAAGTGAACGTAAAGTACGTAATCTATCAAAGAGTCTAATTCTGTTAAAATCGCATCCCATCATAAAAAATATTGTTGAACTAAGCCGCCGCCCAAGCTGGTTCAATAACATAAATTGAATTTCACTCATTTACCAAGTACCAATCATAGCGCTTATACCAGATTTTGAGCCAATCCCGAGTCGCTTAAGCAGTGTTTATCTTGAGAGGTCACATCGCAGGACTCGACCGCGAGCTCTGCCGCTACCAAGGCCTGCAGCCAACGGGGTGGTGCCAAGTGGCAGAGACCACCTTAGGCTCAGCCACTCACAGCCCAGCGAAGGAGTAAGAGGGGTGCGCTGACCCTTCAGCTCCATCAGTTTAAAATTGATCGGTGTAGGAGGCAAGCGACGCCTTGGCACCGACTGCGTGTTTTATGGCAACTTCTTCCGATGTCGTCGACGGCAAGCCTTTACTGCATGGTCCAGAGAAGCTGCCGACTATTATAGGTGAGCACTGCCCTATCCACGAGAGAGGAAACACCACATCACTCTGGCTTGTGTAAAGGGCGCCAACAAAATTCAGTTGGGATCTCAGCAAAAAACAAAACAGGGCTCCAGCAAAAACATAACGGGGCGCCGGCAAAATGTTTTCTCCCCTTTCTTCAGCAAGTTGTAAAAAATTATAGTCCGTTACTCTAATTATAGTCTTCCAATTGTTCCAAAAAACAAACTCGGAGTGGACCAACAGCGGCGTACTGGAAGGTGAGGAGGGGCAGCTCCCGTTTCTCGTGTACTATACATGCTCTGACACTGTCGCGCGGTGCATTATTTAGATGGGAATCTACTCGACACGCTTCATAGGTTCTCAGTCTTGGAATTGCGCATTTTAAAGTTTGTGAACGGCAGCAACAGTGAGAAGCCCGTACACCTATATACTCACGCTTTATCTGCGTGCTACTCGGTAAATCTAACATACTTCATATGTCCCAACCTGTTGCGCTTTGCTTATAGACATTTTCTGGCGAAGATCGGGGAAGGCGCGCACTGTTTTATCTAAAGAAACGATACGAAATCGCCCCTTTGCCAAATGTTCAAGCTATTTCTGGTGCTTTTGCACTTTCACGCAGTCCAACTGGCTTGGGCTGCTACAACGCAGTATACAATGCTGCTGAGCGCTAGCTCAATGATTCCTTAAACCCCCGTCAAGTCACAAACTACTTTTAAAATTTGATTTTCTTTTTGCTTTCGCCTCACCTAGCATGTTATGGATTTAAAGACCAAGAATGTTATTCAAATTGCTTAGAAGCACATGCAAAAGTACCTATATCTTAAGTATTGCGTCAATTTTTTACCTTGACCTCCCGATGCCGGTGCTCCGCAGAATGTCTCGAAGGCTGTTAAGACAAACCGTCCGCAGTTATAGCTGTCTATTTGGACGCCCATATCCGATGCAAAGGTCCGAATTCTGTATCGGGAGCCCTTGTTGGGGGGTGGGAGCAGTGGTATAATGCTAGTGGCAACTTTTTTTACATCACTTTGATATGATGAAGCCATCGGATCGTACACCAATACTGTTGCAGTGGCAAGCTGCACCATGATGCCACACCAGTGAACACCGTTGCAATTAAGTGGGATCAGGACCAATTCATCCGATAGACCAAAAAACAATTTGGCTAGGTCCTCAGCAGTAATCCCAACAGTCCCATTAAACACAACTCCAATGCTCCCCGTATTGATAGCCACAATGTCTGCTCGATTTCCAAAGTTTTTCGCCAGAAGTAAATTAACAGTTCCGTCACTAAGCGAACCATTTCCAGATACGTCAATGTACTCCATCTGTATATTAAAAAACAATATTTGCGTTCATCAGTTTGTTTGATGGTTTAGCAATATTAAGATGATCGATGAGTATCTTACCTTGAGTGACGACAGGGGGAGGCTTTTCAAGCGCTCCTCGACACCAGTATCTCTCGTTACCTTGAAGTGAGGGGAGACGACGATAGAGAAGTCGATACCTTGGATCCATAAAAGCGCCTTCTTGATATCTTTGACAGCCGACATGGCAGTGTGCCACCTCTTCATGATGTTGACGGTCGTCGTGGACAATGTTCCAACGCCCTCGATTTTCAGTGCGATATCCTTTTCAGCTAGACTTTTAGTTTTTTCCTTGAAGCGAGGTGACCTTTTGAGAGCAGCGCCTAATAATATCCCTTGGTAGGATCTTGCTAATTTTATCAGGGAACAATAGCGAGCTGGTCGGCACCTTGTTTAGACGGACTGCAGTAATTCTTGGGGTTTTCTCGAAATAAAAACTTTTGACGCTTTTTAAAAATTGTCTTGATTCGTATGTCGGAAGTCTTGAAAAAATCATATCAAGTGACTTTACTGTCAGCGGATCGCGATTATCAGTTTCGTGGACCTCCTCCACCAAGTAGCCGTCATCCATGCCAGCCGCATCTAAATTAACCTCGACACCTGGTTGAGTCACTGCTCCTACTGGTTCGCCACCGGGCCGCTCACACTCAGCATTCAGCATCACCGCCTCCTGTTCTTTGCGGATAATCGCACCTTCATGTTCCACCGACCCTACGCTCTGCCTCTGGAGAGAAGCCTGCGGCTCTGCGCCATTAACACTACCAGTAGTCGCCGTAACGCCGTGACACCCCTCTTCCTCTTCAGCAGCACACACATGCGAGCACACACCAAACTTTAAATGAATAGCACAGCCACACTTGTTGTTCTCAGCATCCACGAGCCATCCATCTTGTGGCATATTGACACGATGTGCACGGCGGGTAGACCATTTTACACTGTCACGATACAGTCGAGACGCCTTGCTTTTTTCCGCCTTTTCTAAAACCAAACCTAGTACGAATGGATCTTCTTCGTTTTCAACCACGTTGTTTGCAAGGTGTCGCATTGTTTCCATCGCAGTGGTGTCAATATGCACCTCCAGAATATGCATCACCTGGACTCTTGTCTCATCATTCGAACGACCCACAAGCACAGCCTTTGTTTTCAGCATCCATTTTGCCGCCTTCTTGATCTCGCCGTTTGGTGTCGCGATGGATGTTGTCGGTGACGGCACGTCGGACCCCACATCCTCAGCCAACCTAATCGTACTTCGCAAAAGTGCGCACACCTAACTCATTTTGCGATGAACATGCCTCTTTACAGTTGCATTGAATACCTCACATGGATTGTTTGTTGTACCGTAACTTGAAGGGGAATGAAAAATCTGCCATCTCCAATATCTGCCTTCCGTCCACTGCTCTTCAAAATATGTCGCAAATACTCTTAGACATGGCTCAGACCTCCAACTCGAAATTACTCTATCCTTCACTGCGCAATACTCAGTGTAACTTGTCGCGTAATGCATATCCATTATATCTGTGAAAACAGCGACCCCTGGCCCAGTTTCGAGATGCCTTGTTCTTTTGTGAACGCTCTAAAGTACGTGGAAAAAGCACATCAAATATTTGCTGTCACTGAATGCAGCTACGGCCCGAAGTGCATTAAATTGAGCGTCTTCCGCGTCGCCTAAGATGGCATCAACCCGAAGGGTGGTCTAAAATAATTTTTTATACACTCTGGCGACGCTGTCAAAGGCCATTTCGTACTCTCTATGGGTTCGAGCACTGACGATCACAATTGCGGCAAGGTGATAAACCCTTGACCGATCTGTGAATTCACACGAGACAACAGGATAACCTAGGTCGCTCAGTTTAAAGGTCGCGTCAGTGTGAAACAAGCGAAAATGTTCGCTTCCGTGAAGCTGCTTTACTTTTGTCAGCAAATTGGCTGTTGTTACACCCAAAACGAACGGGTCTTCTTCACTGCCCTTCCCGATCCGTGGATATCCATCAACACCATCTACAGGCCCAAATAGAAATGCCTTGTCACAGTCGATGCCTTCAAAATAAGGGTTCTCTTTTGTCAGTTTCTTCACGGCTTCCCGTGTATTCCGAGATAAG